AAAATGTTAGACTCCTTAAAACAATATAGGGACATATGGAATGCAATTACAGTCAATATAGAGAAAACAAAAATTGTTGTATTTCGTAATGGCGGAAGATTACGAGCTGGCGATTATTTTTTACTTTACTGACAATAATATAGAAATTGTTGATATATTTAATTACCTTGTATTGGTGTACTGCTCAGCTTTAATGGCAAGTTTACAAAAACTCAAGTTACTATTGCTGTACAAGGTCGTAAATGTATGTCATTTGTATAATGCGTTTAACAATTTGTTTCTCAATGTAGAATCTAAACTTACTGTTTTTGTATGTCTATGTTTCCCCCATTCTAAATTACGGTTGCGAAACATGGGGTTTCAGTGATGCGGACAAAGTAGAAAAAGTGCATGGTGGTTTTTTAAGAAGAATTCTGAATGTAAAAAACAGTACGCCATCTTTTATTGTATATTCGGAATTAGGACGTCTGCCTTTGCATATCATCAGGAAATGTCGAATAATCAAATATTGGCTGAAACTAATTAAATGTGACAATTGTGTTCTTAAGTCAGTTTATGAAGATATGGATGAATGTATTCACAGAAACTGTAACTGGCGTTGTCAAGTTAGAAAAATTATTATTGTCTTCTGGTTTTGATAATGTCTGGTTAATTCAATATGTTGATAATGAAAGGGTATTTTTAGATTGTTTCAAGCAGCGTTTGACAGATGTTTTTATTCAAACAAGGAATGAAATTGTTGAAAGATCATCCAAATGTTATTTGTATTAATTCCTGATAGATAGCTTTACGTTACAATTTTATCTAACAAAGTCTATTCCAGATGCGTATCGTAAACTTATTTCGAAATTACGACGTTCATCGCACCAGTTATATTTAGAAGAAGGTCGGTATCGTAATATTCCGAGGGCGAATAGGTTATGTCGTTATTGTAATCAAACCCAGGTAGAGGACGAGTTACATTTTGTTCTGATTTGTCCACTCCATGTTGATATTCATAAAAAGTTCATTAAAAAGTATTACTGGAGCCGTCCATCTTCATATAAACTTGTTCGTCTGCTATCTGTCCGTAACAGAAAATAGCTGTGCATGTAATCTAGGAAAGTATCTGCAATCAAGTTGGTTAGAACGGTCTAGATTCCAACCTTAGGTTATTGTGTTTTCTCTCACTCTGATTGATAACATAGGAGTACTTGTTTATCTCCAGGTTTACACATATTGTTTTGTCCATCCCCTGACTACACCACTGTATACAAATTGTATGCCTGTTTTGTTTTGTTATTGTATGTAACATATTCTTTATTGAGCTCCGGTTGATATTGTGCTAAGAAAATGTTGTGACCTCATTTGTTTTCCGATAGTCACGGTACACTTCCGTAAGGTAATTATACAAGAGCTGTCCATCTTCCGATAATTCTTTATAATAATTTAAAGCATTACACTGTCCATCTATAGGTACTATATATATATGCGATGTACAAGAGTATGCTTCATTCATGATGTTATAATTATTTGGTATTTCATATCACTGATGTATCAATTATACGTTGCTGTTTCTGTGTATGCTTATGAACAAAACAATACAATACAGAGGAGCGACGCCCGAGTTCAAAGCCGGCAAGTTTCACCGTTACGCGACCGCGAGATTCTTTTAACACTCGTCTCATCCACAAGGCGGTGTGCACTGAGCCTTCGGTTTTGCTTGAGTTGTGTGTTTTGAGTTTAAATACATGTTATTGCATAAATACTACACAAAAGGATTGGACGCAAGTTATCACAACTTATCGATGTCCTCTCCATATTACAAGCACACATATGCAAAACTTAGCAATGCCTTAATAATAATTAGCACATGTAATACATTTTACATAGTATAAGAAAGCAGAAAAAATTGGACAGTAGAAAAAGCGTCAGAGATCAGAAAGAAAAGAAAAAATACTGATAGATGAATTAAGTATTACAATATTAATTGTTGAAACATTGTATTTCTTTGTACATTATACATTGGACAAAAAAATGTTTATCGTCCTCCACATCTTCTGGATGGACTGTCAATTAGATTGACACGGAATAAATCATAATTAAAATAACTTACATTATTACGTAAACGACAATGTAAAATGTTCACGTTCCTTTCTCCATACTCCTTAAATTCTTTATCACATAGGGGTACTTTATTTGGTTTGATAGAACTATTAAACTATTTCAAGGTGGTACAATTTTTTTCCATGTCAGGTTATTCCATAAATTACATGTACTAGGTATAAAAGAAGACATAGTTAGACTAAGACGATAGTGGGGAATTTGATATTCATCTCAATTTCTAAGATTATAAGCAGACAGGTCAGACACTTTCGGGGAAAGAAGAGACACAAGATGGTTTGGTGAATTTCCTGACTGAATTTTATAAAAAAAAAAGACTGACTTTTCTGAACATATTGCCAATTTAATTCTTGATATAGTCGAAATTTACTTGTAAAAATTGGCAAACCTGTAATAATTCTGGCGGCTTCATACTGGATGTTTTCAATAGCTTCTGTGTCTCTATTGTTACAAGTTTCCCAAACCTCACAAGCATATTCTAAAAGAGGCCGAACATACACCAAGGTTCTTCCTACTTAAGGTGGCTCCACACATCAGCGTCCATTTTCGTGACGTACTTCCGGAAAAAGTACAGCTCGGACTCAATTATCTTGATCGAAATGTGCATGTACACCGTGTCGTCATTTCCGTATTGCGTATCGGGCATTCAATATCGTAGTGCAAATTATAGTAACTAACACCTGGGCCGTTTGCGTTTAAACGGTCAAACTGTTGTTCGTTTATTATATAAGGTAGGACCTAGTTATCTGATGCTGCTTTCAGGTGAGCCTTGAGAAAGTCGTGCATACACATTTGCAGGTCCGCCAGGATTTATACCCGAAATTGTTACATTTATAAACGGTCAAACCGGTTGTTCCGCATAAACGAACAGGCCCCTGATAAACAATAGTACACGTGCGTGCTGATGATATTTCAACACCCGATATCGAGGTTTTACCGGGAAATGTATAATCACACGTACTTCAGGAATAAAGCTTTCCAATTCATTGACATAAACAGACTCACGGGAAGACAGTGACATGAGACCAGACGACCTCAAGAAGGTCATATAGGAAACACATGGAATGCGGACGTACCAACCTCATATGTGCATATCACGTGCTTACATGAGTTCATAAGCTGAGGGAGTTTCGCTCTGTCGATTAAATCGTGTTTACAAATGTAGTCTACTTACTCTGTGAAAATAATGTTTTGTAAAATATCAAGATACCTATGAAATGCATGTGTGAGGGCACGTGAGAACGGCATACCATGCGATAGCCTCTGGTCACATATGTACCTGACATGTAATTATAAATATACCGTGAGTTAGCGGACTGTGGAATGATGTCCAAAGTGTACATGACTGAGGGTAATTTGGTTCCATTAAAGAACAATAAATTGATAATTTTGATATCATATTTTTGATTTATTTCCATCATTTGTTATATGTAAACAGAGACAACTGTCATTGTGTAAATGTCATCCCTCTGCAAAAAGTTCCGATTTTTTTCAAGGAAGATAACTCTCACCCGGATCAAAGTGATTGTAAAATGTAAAATAAATTAATTATAAAGCCATTGTGTATATTTTGTTCAATTTCCCACTCTATATGTATAGATCTTTGTGTCCTGTTTGCTTTTAGCTTGTAGATAATCACTTTTATCCGTTCAAATTCAATAAAAAACACTTTGTGTAACATGTGTTACATATTTTGCGATAAATGAAATATTTGTAGGGTTAATTATAAATGCTTCTTTTCATTTTTTCATTGTTGTTATTGTTCCGAACAATGCCACACACAAAAAAAAAACGGAAAATATTAAAAGTGGCGAACATTCAATTTTTGGTATTTTTTCCAAAAAAGTCCCCAAACTACGGAATGTTTAGATTTTCATAAAATTAACTCTACATAGTTGCATAACCATTATGTGAAAGTTTCAACGAATTTTGCTGGTTAATTGCGAAAGTGTGGAGCCACCTTAAAGTATATTTCAATTTTCTAAGGGTTGATGAATACTCCATTAAGCATCTCCACTAATATTAACTCCTAAATGCTTATGAGAATTGACTATCGGAACTGAGGTTCGGCCAATTATTAAAAGCCATTAACCATTTATGAGACCAAAGCTTTAATTGTTCTAAATCAAAATTTATTAATTGCTCCAATTCGGCCGAATTCCTAGATGAATGTGATAATGCAGTGTCGTCAGCGAATAGGCATTTAGGAGTTCATATTCGATTTTGCTATGACACATTCCAGGGGTGCAGGGAGCAAAGGTACCTATACTTTCAAGCAAGTGACCGTTGACCTTCAACTTTAACATGTTCATCCTCACTTACGTTTAGAAATGTTCACAACACACGGTAAATATATATTAAAACATTTATATATATCAACTTGATCACTCTTGTTAGCCCGGATGTTAGAGCGCACGGGGTCTTATGTGAACGACGAGTGGCGCTATCCCCTGCGCGATCTGACCACCCAACATTCGGTAAGTCGACGATGATGCTTTGTGTCCCGTTCTGCCTGATCTCTTTATTACGGACACGCTTTCCTGGGCTACAGGGATCCAGGGTATAGGAGGGGCACTGTTTTTATTACATTTTTTTATTCAAATTATTGATCTCACAATTACTGATATCTACCCGACTTCAAGGAGAAATTGATTGAGGATCACAACAAATTAACGAAATAACTTTGTAATCTTTTGTCTACAGATCCTGTTTGGATGTAGTTTCTAGTGATTTAGGAAACACGACTAATTCAAATGAATGGCGGCTATCACCTTACGTCCGGAAATACGAGCGGGCACCTGTCGCCGGTTTCTGTTTTATTAATTACCAACCAAGAAAAATCATTTTGACGCTTACTGTTTCTGTCCTTTAATGTAAGCGTTTGTCTGACTATCAGAAACAAATATGGCGACGTTGTGGATCGTGGCGGCAGGTGTTACGTGTTTGAAAGCACTTTTGATACCTTCCTAGTAAGATTTCTGAAGCAAAATCAATTTAAAGTGAACGTCCCTGAAGTGTGTTATGTATTACTTCCATGACATATGCTGATAAAGCGTTTTTATAAGACGAATTCTGATGCCGGACGGCATAACATTTCCAGTTTGACGGATCTGATTTATTTCGCTATTGCATGTGGAACGTCTACCTGAGAAATGGTCTTCTTTACAACTTATGTTTTTAAAATAGATGTATTATATTTCGATGCCTGTCACTTACTTACTGATGTTATTTGTAAAATAGTAACTTGTTTTGAATTAATGAGTTGTAAAAATATAATCTGCTTTCGGTTTCAACACTCCATTATGATAATTTACATATATTTGTGTACTTTTTGTATATTACTAATTAATCCTTTTTACTACGGACCAAAATTACAGTCCTATGTCAGTTTATTGGGACTTTCGGCCCCTTTAAAATGCAATCTTATTTTAAAGTAAAGACCGAATGTGATGAAACATACAGGTCATTGGAACTATTGGATCTGAAGTCAAAGCTTAAAAAGTACTGAAAATAATTGCACCATAGGAAAGTGTTGGAATTTGCTTGGTATTCCATTAAAAAAAGTTATTGAAAATATGTACCGGAAAAAAATTGTGTTGATAGGAAATTATGAACAAGGCACTTAAAACAGAAAATCTTCATCCCGTTTTTTGAAAAATTGTTCCTGAAAATGTGAAATTTAAATACTGAAAATGTGTTAAAGAGCTTTGATTATATATGTGTTCAAGAAAAGGTATCTATATCCTTATGATTCTTTAATCAGTTTTTCTTTCTTTCCAAAACAGTAAATCAACTGACTTTGAAGTTCACAGAAACTGGCTGGCCATTACAAATAAACTGCCTGTAAAAAAGTGGTATTATGAGGTAATGTCATACTGCTATTGTTATCTACATTGAAAGGCAGTTAATAGATGCCTAACATATATTTGTTTTTTCATCTATCTGAAAGGAACTGCAATGGTTAGGGCCAAAGGGGCATGGATTAGAAAAACAAACACTAGATTTTGAAGCTGAATTTATAAGATTAATTTTACCTTTGTAAATAAAATCTACTATTTACACCTTAAACTATCCAAAATATAGTGCGTGACATTTTTAGTTTTGATAAGTTGAACCTGTGATGCCTTGAAAATATTATTTATATTTTATATTTTATATTTCCTCACACAGCTTTATTGCTTAAAATATTAAGTAACAAACCTAAGAAAAAAAGAGAACAGTTTTTTTTAAACCTTGTCAACCATTTTTTCTTCCAGAATCGATCAGAATGGACGTTGGATTATCCCCCTTTCTTTGCTTGGTTTGAGTTTGCTCTGTCAAAAATAGCATATTACTTTGACCCTAAGATGCTCAATGTCAAAAACCTGTCATATGCCAGTGATGAAACCATCCTGTTCCAGCGCCTCTCTGTCATTGTCACAGACTTGGTCTTCATCTATGCTGTGAAAGAGTAAGTATAGGATCTGGATCAGGTAGCAGTGTTTACTGGTCATTCATACAAAGCATTTGGGCAAAGACTCTTCAGTTGACCATGCAGCTCATTCAGTTACAATAACAGTATATACAAATCAGAGATCCAGGATTTAAATCCAAGTCTGGTCCCACTGAAGTTTGACACTCAGAACACTTGTTGATTGTATTTGTTTTATTTCCCTTTATTAATTTTATTAATGACAACTTAATATATTTTCAAAACGATTGAAACCTAAAATTGTTTGTATAGAGTTTTGAAAGGATCCCCTGAAGGCAAGAAAACACAATTATTATTCAATTATAGCCTTTGGCTGAGGTATCGACCGAAGTTTAAGGCTACAATTGTTTTATTATTTTCAAACAGTAATGTAAGCAATTCGAAAAAAAAAAAAGAAAAAAAAGGCCTCGGAAGCGGGACGGTGCATTGTTTGGAGACACGTCATATTTCTATTTTTCGAAACACCCAGTCCTTCAACAAAAATCATGCGCTCCAAGTCAATATCGGTTTATATCGGTTGACACGTGATGTACTCCTGGCCAATCACTTGTTGGGAATAATATGAAAAAAATATAATTTCAGATATTTCTCAAGTGAAGTGTTAAAGACTTGATAAGTTTTAGTTTATCTGTTCTTGGACAGCTGAACCCTGGAAACAAAACATACATGCTTTTGGTTAAAATACCAGGTATAACAATGATAATTATATCTCTCTTTACCATATTATACTTTTCTTCATCCTTTTTGTTACATTTCTGTCCATTTCTAGAATGTTGTTGAAAATGAAATCCTTTGATGGAGAAAATTTCTCAACATTTTTGAGATTTGTGAATTTGATTAATGATGAAAACTGTTTTTAAATTTAAGGTTTTGCTCAAAGTTTGTGAAGCTGCGACGTCGAGATGAGGATGATGATGATGTGATGGAGAATCCGAGTGTTGTGCTGGGCGTTCTCCTCATCTGTAACTGTGGACTCCTTATTGTGGATCATATCCTTTGTCTTACAGCCTACAGCATAACAATCCATAGGGTCAGCTTGTAAAACCCACGAAGGAGTAATATGATTATTGCATGTGGACATGGAAATAACACATTCACATGCATCAAGATAATGTTTGGCTTTTTCTCACACTTAATGTTTGAAAATGATATAAAAAGATTTTCTTTGAAAATTAGTACATTGTAGTGTTCACCAGGAAAATTTTGCCAAGTCAAATATTTTCTCCAGAGTTGTAAGCTTTTCTCTGAAACCTGACCGTTAATAGAAAGTTAAACACAAACAAACAAACCAAACCATCCTTCACATGTAATTACTATATGTGGTTTGCGATGTACTATTATTTAAAGTCATGACAAATTCACTCTTATTGTGGGGGCAAAAACAGTTGAAATTTAAACTGTGGAATATATTTACCATGTTACAGCACTCTCTTTGTCAACTATGTTGCTATACTACAACCTCATATAATTTGACATGTGATATCATTCAATCGTTTTCACCATTATAACCACGACCATACCGGGTAGAGATAACCATACATCCTCACAAGACTGCTTCCACTAAACTAATTATCTTAATTGTTTCAAGTTAACTGAATCTATCTTTTTCTCCCATTCTCCTGGTGTAAGATTTGTATTCCTTAGCCTACAGTACATATCCACTTCCAGTACAACGGTTTCCTGTTTGGACTAATGATGTTGTCTGTCACACACATGTATGAGGTAGGCAAATATAGTTTCTACAGGAAAAAATTCAGATTGTGAAAGACAAAACATTCTATCAACTTAGCTGGTCACTGTTTATTGACCCATGCTGAATTCTCTAAAATGAATCATTTAAATCTATTTTTATTTATTAATTTTAATCTAAGGTAAAAAGGGGTTACCAATGATGAAGAGAGTGATACTGGGTCCCTTCATATTTTGTATTTGATGTTATATCAGATTTGTGTATATTTAGTAATATCTGTATATAATGATACAGTGGCATTGCACAAATATGATACCTTATTGATTATATTTTGGAATAGCTATATGAATTGCACATATCATCAGTTTAAGAAATTACTCTTCTCTGTGTTGAAAAATTGAAATATATTGATCATTCATTTCATTAAGTGAAACTTATCACAGGATTCATATTTCAAAAAGTAGATTTTCCATGAAATAGTATTCAAACACATTTTATTTCTCTGAAATGACATGTTTGATCATAACTGTCATTCTGTAATTTAAGTACAAGGTGGTGAGATAGGTATCTTAATTGCTTTTATGTCTTTCTGCAGGAGAAATACATCAGAAGTGCATTTTGGTTTGCGGTTTTGCTCAACTGTAAGCATATCTACCTGTACATTGCTCCGGCCTACTTCGTCTATCTACTCAGGTGCTATTGTTTCCAAAGCACTGCAGGTAAGTTTCAGAATGGGACTGATAAGATTGAGAGGTAAAAGTCCAATATCACATAAAATGTTTGTAGTTGTTTTAATAAAATATATTTTCTAATTTTGAAATTTCTTGACTTTGCGGAGTGTTTATTTACTTCAATGAGCTATTGAATTCATGGTTCTGATGTTTAAAAAAACCCTGATGTAATAGATTATTATAGATCACATTTCCAAGTTAATTTTTCTTGAGAAACCACAAATATTGCAAAACAATTTTACGAAAAAAATACCTCCATTTACAGTAGCTCTTCCACAATTTACATGTAACAAAACATATTTTAAAGCAAATTGTTAATTTCTCACCTGATCACAAATATCTTGTATATTACAGCTGGACGGATCAGGTGGCTGTCCTTTTCACCACTACGCCTGATAGCTTTAGGATTGGTGGTCATTTCAGTTTTTGGGATTTCTTTTGGACCCTTTATTTATCTCGTATGTACCTATGCATATATATATTTCCCATGAACATTCCTTAGCAAGTTGCCACCTTCAGGACTGAGGGCGTGTTATCTCCCTCAGACCATTGGATGTTTTATGTAGTATTTAAATGTATTCCAAACGATTGTAAAAAAATATTCATTTTGATTTTTTCCTATAAAACAAATATATTTGATAAAAAACATGAAATATTGCAGTCTCTGATGTCCTAAAACTGCTTAATTTGAGTTTTATATTATCTGAAACTATCTTTATCTATATATATATATTTCCCGTGAAAATCCCTGAGCACATTGAGTGTTATATGTTGCCACCTTCAGGACTGAGGGTGTGTTATCTCCCTTAGACCATTGGATGTTAGTCATGATACATTCAGTACAATTATCAAAATATATTATGCTATTCATTTTGATTCTTTTTCAATAAAAACATGCTGTATGGGTAATGTCCTAAAATTGTATAATTTGAGTTTTACATTATTTCATAATTAGGAACTGTATCTTTATCATAGTGATGAATGATTAAAATATCACCAGTGTTAATCACTTATATAAGTGCGGGAATGCATAAGTCTCCAATCCAGACACCAGTGTAATGTCACTAAGTACATAGTTCTATTGTAATAAAATAATACACTTTCAATCCTTATATTCAGCATGCTTATTTGTTTCAGAACCAACTCCCTCAGGTAGTGTCTAGATTATTTCCCTTTAAAAGGGGACTGTGTCACGCCTATTGGGCCCCAAACTTCTGGGCACTGTATAACATAGCTGACAAAGGGGCGGCCATTGTAGGTAAGTCATACGGCTACAGGGTACAAACACAGTGTTAAAGTACTAGTAGTCCTCATGTTATACAAGGCTCAGACATTTTAAGTTCTGCCTTGCCCAACGGAAAATAAAACCACAAATCTTCATCAAGAAAACTTTTACAAATGCCCAAATTTTAATTTGAAGTGCAGTTGGAGATTTGAAATGACTGTTTGGAGACGAGAATAATGAAAATAGGGGTCTTTCCAAGTGTTTTGAAATAATGTTTCATCATTCGTGCTATAATTTGAATAATTTCAATAATGTTGATACATAAATATTGGGTGTACAGTGATTAGAATCATAATTAAAATCTAATCTGAAGAGTGTTTTATATCTAATTTTTTTTGTGTGGAATTTTTTGATGTAGAATTATTAGATTTCATCACACACCAAATACATGACAACAAGGGTTTGACCAATTTTACCTGATTACACGTAGGATTCTGTATCCAAAAGACATGTATACTTACAACTGTATGCCTCTACTTTACTTTGCAGCTAGGAAATTAGAGTTAGTCAATGTTACCACGAACAAGGCTGTTATGACGGGAGGGCTTGTACAGGAATTTGAACACTCCATACTGCCCTCTATACCGCCTATTGTCACGCTGGCTGCCACAGTCCTGTCTATACTGGTAAGTAGTGTTGCTCACGATGTAGGCTAACAGTGTTATATTTTACAAATAAATCTATGGTTTAGTTACAATATTTACATTTTACTCCTCAAAATTCCAGAAGTTATACTCACTTATGTTCTCCTCAACCCTTGCACATGTCATGACAAAGTTGAAGGCACGCAGTAAGCCATTTGATTGGTTTCAGGTAAATACCCTGGCCAATTAATGCTGGGCAGATGCCTGTCGTTTGAAGTTTACAAGGAGCTAACTGACTTCAAAGCCAGTTAATTTTACTGTAACGCTGCCCCACGATTCTTTTGCTGTACATCAAACGATCATGCAAGTCTTCTTGTCTTATCTACAAGGTGGAACAAGCAGAGTCTTCAATTTTGTCATGACTTATTCTAGGGGTGCAGAGAATCTAAGAAAGCATTACCCCAGGAACTTTGAGAATGCATTCTACTACCCTAATAACACTCTCTATGGTTATCAGACACATCGGTAAGGATACCTGTCATTTTATTTTCTGATATGATTTCAGGGAAAACAAATCACCATAATACTTGATTATATTGATTTTCCTCTTCATGCCCTATCTGAACCATATCACAAAAACTGACAAATGCAAAAAAACAACCTGATTTGAGTCATTATCAGATATCTGTGTAAATCAACATGATTTTCAAAAATACTTAATTATGACATTGTAATTCTGATTACTTTTTGATGATGTCACCCTGGTAAAATACTGACTTGGCTAGGGAGAATTTCTCTTTAGCTCATTTAGTAGAGCTTAAGACTAGTAAACCAATGGTCCTGTGTTTGAATCCTAGCAGCGGCATTAAAAAAATAATGACCTGTTAAAATGAGAATTTGAAATAACGAAAGTAACAAAGACTGAAATATAGTCATACTTACTTGAGTATATTCTGATCGACTAAATGTTTATCTATGTTTGAGTTTTAATAACCTTTTTTCTGTGTATTAATTTGTGATTTCTTCCCCTTTCATTCTTAGCCAAAAAATATAACTTCTGAAAATTAAAGACGTATAGTAACTACGTTATACTTTATTTGCCTCAATATTTCAGCCAGTGCTGTTGAACCTCTGGTGGAGCCCCAAGGGACCCAGGAGTTTCCTGAGAGCCCTGATCCTCTGTGCATTTGGATCCTTCATGTTTGGTTGGCATGTACATGAAAAGGCTATTCTTCTTATCATACTTCCAATGAGGTAAGTGGAACAGTGTCCTGCTCAGACAGCAGGGGTAGTGATTAGCATGTCTGGCTCTTTAGTGGAAGGTTATGAGTTCAATCTCCTTAATCTAACGAGAGCCAGTCCTGCTCAGGCAGCAGGGGTAGTGATTAGCATATCCGGCTCTATAGTGAAGGGTTATGAGTTCATTCTCCTTAAGGTGGCTCCACACATCGTCATCAGCATCCATTTTCGTGACGTACTTCCGGAAAAAGTACAGCTCGGACTCAATTATCTTGATTGAAATGTGCATGTACACCGTGTTGTCATTTCCGTATTGCGTATCGGGCATTCAATATCGTAGTGCAAATTATAGTAACATCTGGGCCGTTTTCGTTTAAATGTTCAAACCGATCTGACCACTGTTGTTCGTTTATTAAATAAGGTCGGACCTAGTAATCTGATGCTGCTTTCAGGCGAGCCTTGAGAAAGCCTTGCAAGGCCTGCATACACATTTGCAGGTTTGCCAGGATTTATACCTGAAATTGTTACATTTATAAACGGTTGTTCCGCATAAACGAACAGGCCCCATTGGTAAACAATAGTACACGTGCGTGCCGATGATATGTCAACACCCGATATCGAGATTTTACCGGGGAATATATAATCACACATACTTCAGGAACAAAGCTTTCCAATTCATAGACATAAACAGACTCACAGGAAGACAGTGACATGAGACCAGACAAGAAGGTCATAGTCTATAGGAAACACATGGAATGCGGACGTACCGACCTCACATGTGCATATAACGTGCTTACACGAGTTCATAAGCTCGAGGTCGTTACGATATTCGCTGTTGAGGGAGTTTCACTCTGTCGATTAAATCGTGTTTACAAATGTAGTCTACTTACTCTGTGAAAATAATGTTTTGTAAAATATCAAGATACCTATAAAATGCATGTGTGAGTGCATGTGAGAATGGCATACCATGCGATAGCCTCTGGTCACATATGTACCTGACATGTAATTATAAATATACTGTGAGTTAGCAGACTGTGGAATGATGTCCAAAGTGTACATGACTGAGGGTAATTTGGTTCCATTAAAGAACAATAAATTGATAATTTTGATATCATATTTTTGATTTATTTCCATCATTTTTGTTATATGTAAATAGAGACAACTGTCATTGTGAAAAATGTCACCCCTCTGCAAAATGTTCTGATTTTTTTCAAGGAAGATAACTCTCACCCGGATCAAAGTGATTGTAAAATGTAAAATAAATTAATAATAAAGCCATTGTGTATATTTTGTTCAATTTCCTATTCCATATGTATAGATCTTTGTGTCCTGTTTGCTTTTAGCTTGTAGATAATCACTTTTATCCGTACAAATTCAATAAAAAACACTTTGTGTAACATGTGTTACATATTTTGCGATAAATAAAATATTTGTAGAGTTAATAAGAAATGCTTCTTTTCATTTTATTATTGTTGTTATTGTTACGAACAATGCCACACACAAAAAACCCCGGAAAATAGTAAAATTGACAAAAAAACATTTTTTTGGTGTTTTTTCCAAAAAAGTCCCTAAACTATCGGAATGTTTAGATTTTCATAAAATCAACTCTACATAGTTGCATAACCGTTATATGAAAGTTTCAACGAAATTTGCTGGTTAATTGCGAAAGTGTGGAGCCACCTTAATCTAAGGAGAGCCAGTCCTGCTCAGACAGCAGGGGTAGTGATTAGCATGTCCGGCTCTATAGTGGAAGGTTATGAGTTCAATCTCCTTAATCTAAGGACAGCCAGTCCTGCTCAGATAGCAGTTGTGTAGTAATAAGCATGTCCAACTTATTTAGTTAAAGATTATGAGTTCCATCCTCCTCATTTGAGGAAGAGCCAGTCCAGTTCAGACAGCAGGGGTATTGGTTAGCATGTCAGGCTCATTAGTGAAGGGTTATAAGTTCAATTTCTCAATCTAAGCACAGCCAGTCCTACCCAGACAGGTGTAGTTGTTAGCATGTCTGACTCTTGATTGAAGGTTTTGAGTTCCTTCCTCTTCATTCTGTGGAGAGCCAGTTCAAATTTGTGATCCAAGCGTTGCGGGTTCCATTCTCATAGTAATTCCATTGAGGGAGGGGGAATGATACCTACTGAGTTGTTGCATCAGTAAATATAGCATATCAACTTCTGATCAAAGGTTTATTACTTGTTTCCTCAACTTTCCTTAAACTGTCCATATTATCGTATCTAACAAGCAGTACAGATATGCCTGGTCGACCATAGTGTGTGGTTTGTGTTGAAATCAGATGCATACTTTGATTCCTGCGCTTGTATTCATGAAACCGTTCTCACACTCAGGCATGGATTTTATGTTCAAACCAATTTTCTTGAAACTTGCTTAAATCATGTCAAACAATCAAAAAGTCAATTGTAAACATTAAAAACAGTATTCAGCTTGTTTTTCCAAATCATTGACAATTTTTTTTTTTTATTTATTCATTTATAACGGAAACAAGAAGTTTGGTTTGAGCACAAAATCCATGCTTGAGTATGAGAACGGTTTCATGAATACGGGCCCAGATGATTTTTAGGTGTTTAACAGCCAGGAGTTAGAAGGTCGTATGCTTTAAGACTTAAGGTTGTGATTTTGTAATTTACCTATTCCGTATCGTGTATCTAAAGATATTATTGTAATTTCAAAAAGTTTGTTAACTGGTCACAGAAAGGCATACAAGATCATGTCAAGTTTTTTTAC